ACATATGTAGCCAATGTTAGGATGTAGCCATTAATGATTCATTTGTGCAGTGTGGCAGAGTATCGGGGGCGGTCTGTCGACCCATGCCGTCTGGATTCTAGGTTGGTAACGTGGATCATCGAGCACACTGGGCTGGGAGCGGACTGAGGTTAGTTCGCTTCTCGCTCGACGACGGTCATGTTGACTACTGAGAAGATCAGGAATGAGTACGGCTCCGCTGTCAGCTGCGTCGATTCGGCAGCGGTGTGTGGGCCACCACACAGTGTAGACTGCTCTGGAAGCAGGACGGGGGGGGGGGCGAGCCGAGAACGCGGCGCAGGCTCGCGCGATGAAGCCAAAACTACAGATCTGAGCTCCCATCTCTGCCCATCGTTCCCGACGTCAGGTTGGCGAGGCACAAGCACGGCTCAGCTGTACAACATGGCATCGTTTGATTATACTTGCAGATCTGACGGATACCTCTCACTTTCCTAGCAGCAACCCCCTCTTGCCTTTTTACTGCCCAGATCGACGCCCCGAGGCTATAATCAGCGTGCGGAATCGTACAGCCACTCGACAACCCCACCTTGCGCCGCTGAAGCTCATCCTCGTTGTGTCTGCGCAACGCCTCCCTCGCGGTCCACTCGAACGCGTCGACCACACCCCAGCCCTCCTTGGCGCTCGTCTCGACGTACAACAGCCCATGCTCTTTCGCATACAGCGCGCCCTCGTTCGCTGAGACTGCTCTGGGTTGCAGCTGTCGATCGGAAGGAGAGGCGGGGGAGGGGGAAGGGGCAGATTCAGACAGGTCGGTGGACACCGCTTGGCCGTAGGCTATTGAGGGCAGTTCGGGAGGAGAGGCGGAGCATAGGTCTACCTTGTTTGCGACGACTGTAGGGTCAGGCTCGGTTGTCTGTAGCTCGCTGCAGAGTTTCGAAGCAGGTTTCGCACTCACGTATGATCGAGACGTTTTCGTCGGCGTGAGCGCGGAGGTCCTTCAACCAAGACGTGACGTGCTCGAAGGCTAGTGTGTCAGTAGAGGTACCTATTGGGTTTGTCTCTACTCACAATCTCTCCGTGTCACATCATACACTAGCAGCGCGCCCGCGGCCCCTCGAAAGTAGCTCCTCGTGATGCTTCGAAAGCTCTCCGTACCCGCGGTGTCCCAGCCTGCACCATCAATGTACTATCCCACAGACATGTCCCGATGTCGTCCAATAACAAGTGACAGAAACCAAGGCTCGCCCCACTCACACTGCACCTTGACCCGCTTGCCGTCTTCCCCGACACTCAGAATACGGCTCCCAAACTCCACGCCTAATGTCGGCTCGGTCGTTGAGAACCGGTCGTCGGTGAGGCGTATGAGGATCGAGGATTTCCCGACAGCAGAGTCACCTACAATGACGTATTTGAGGATACTGCGGGGTCAGCAGGGGTTATTGTCGGACGCAGACCACCCATGTGCGAAGATAGGGGGCAAGTCGTTAGGCAGACGTAGAAAGTCGAGGGTACTGACTAGTCCCTGGTCGTCAGTCTGGCGTCCGTCTATGACTGCGCTTGGAAGCATACCATGTCATAGAATCCATTTTGGCCTATGCAAGCTGTTGCGAGGTTGACGATTGGGATGTGAATCGTTGCAAGGAAGCAGTCTGAAGTGTGAAAGAGATGAAATGAGTAGCTAAAGTGAACTTTGGGTGGCGGAGACGGCTACCGCTGTTTCCGGCTTGACCGGAGTCAGGTCCCACATTGGATGGGTGTGATTGCATCTCTGACTTCGTCCGTGGTCCCATGCATTTTGGGCTTTGCATGTTCGGAGGCCGACTGGCTCTAGCTCGGCCACATGCAGCTGCATGCAGGGAGGAGGGAAAGGCTAGGCAGGCGTGGGAAGGTTGGAAACCCCTGTGCATTGGTGCATCCCATCCATCATTCATCGGCATAGAAGGCGGTCAGGTGTCGGATGCCTACCCGCCTTCCCATCACATTGATCACTGGACCCCCCCGTAGATTCTTCTACACCATACTTTAGCTGCGCTTGACCACCCCTTTCAACCCTCACCACGCTCGCCCGGGTCCAGCATGGGCCGACCGGATTCAGCGGGGAAACATGGTCGTGCTTCTACACCCCGCACGACCCGTCGGGGGTTGATCGAAGAAGAACTCGATCTGGACGGACCGCAAGATCTACCCAGCTACCAGCAGAGCTTTTCCGATGAGGATCTAGGAGCGAGCCCTCCTTGGGATGAAAGGGCGCAAGGGCCGCCGCAGCGCCCCAGTGCAGATGAGCAAAGTGGGAGATCCAGTGCTTGGTGTGGGTTTACCCCCTTTGTATTGTACTGACGATGGCCAGTGGAGAAGAGAGCATTGGAGAGATATGCCGAAGAGATGGAGAGGGAAGCTCAGGAGCAGGCTGCACCATCGGTATGCGACCTTGACGCATGGGAGCTGAATCTCAGGTTGGTACTGACCAGCCCCGACCACCCTCCTACGACTTTTCGGTTGCCGGTGAAGGCGACCAGTCCAAAAAGCATCAAGCGGAACTGTCCACGGCTTCTGACCATCATCCTCCCCTCTCAAAGCAGCAGCCCCATTCCTACTTGTCTTACCGGCCCCTTCCGCCCACGGATCTCGTCAAAATCGACCTTGGGTCTCGATTCATCACCCATTCTTCCTCGCCAATTACCTGCACCCTCACCCTGCCTGGCGACATTGACCTACTCGGGACAGCTCAGGGGCTCAAGGTGTTTCTTCCTTGCGACGAGAACCCCTCGAGGAGTATATGGACCGGTCTCCCCGTCTGGCAAATGGTCCTTCTTCGGCAAGACTATGACAAAAACGCCAACACCGACCCTCGGAGGGTGTTGATGTTTTGCGGCGGGACGGAAGAGGGGAGTACGGGAAGACCAAAGAGGGAGGGCGAAGTACGGGTGTGGAAGCTCCAGGCCTTGATCAACTTGGCTCGATGGGCCGCGGATCAAGAAGACTACCCTGGACTCGATCTCGCTGTGAAGAAGAACAAAGGAAAGGGCGTCGCTTCCTCGTTTCGCGGCTTGTCACTGGGTGGGTCCAAGGGAAGCAAGGCTGCGTCGTCGTCGTCCTCCTCCTCCTTCAGTCGGCAGCTGCCCGAGCCAGCCGGTGTAGAAGACGCGTCAAGATGGGCGGCAGACTACGTGCCTCTGCCCTCTGGCGGCCAGGCGGTACTGACCGTTGCGACACACATCACTTCAGATGCCATCCACATAGCTTTGGCAACGCCCACCTCGATCATATTGCACTCGGGTAAGATCCAACCTTCCGGTTCCTCCTCTTTCTCCCCTCCGCGGACCTACTACGTCCCTTTTGCTCCCACCACCTTGTCCCTTGCAGAGCTCGAAGTGCCGGGGAGCATCGCTAGGGCGAGCGATGACCGCGCAAGCAGCGTCTTTGAATGGGACGACGACCAATCGGCCGTAGGCCTCGGGGAGAGCGTCGTCGGAGATCTTTTAGGACTCTACGTCACATTTCAAGGGGCCAGGGGGTGTGTGATCAGGACCACCGACATGGGCATGGTGGAATTGAGAAAAGGGGGCAGGGGTGAATGGTTGCCCTTGGAAAAGGTGGTCGTTGGCAGCGGGGAAGTCTACGTCTTCACCCGGGGAACAAGCAGTTTCCTCTTCAGCGTACGTTGACAATCTAACAATCAAGCTAATCAGCAGGCACCTCTGACGATTCCGCTCGCGAAACAGATCCCGGTCGCCGAGATCACTTGGCCAGAGCTGCCAACGTCAATCCGGGCGACGACCGGTCCGACATCGGGTGTACGGCTCATGGGCCTGACAGCCGCGGGGAATATGCACGTGATAGACGTGATAGCAGGGGAGAGGGGGGTCGAGACGGATTGGACGAGCGCACAGAGAGCGTTGGGGGAGGATGCCCGGTTTCTGTCAGTGGTCAAGGGCAAGTGGCAGGTCTTGCAAAAGGAAGACACTGTTTCGGGAGAGGGCGAGGTGATGGGAGTGAGCTATCGCAGAGCTTCGGGGGACTGGCGTGTTGCTTATATAACATATCAGACGGGCTGATTCATATAGAGAGTGATGCACCCGAGAGTGGTACCGCATCCAGGATAGCTTTTTGCGCCCTATGGGAGTATCTTCGAGCAGAAACAAGACTCCAGGGATGACTCGGAGGCGAAACACTCCCCTCACTGTGATATCGTCCTATCGTCCTTAACTTCCACCCTCGCCAGTTCAAGAAGCTGTGCTATCGTAGTGGATACTTATCAGGCCGCTGACAAAGAGGTGGCGACAAAGAGAGACTGAAGAGATTGAATGTCAACCCCTTCATCCCCGCCTGGCATTCTCGATAAGGAATGGCTTGTGGTACTGCGGCAATCAACGCAGGGGCAGAAGTGCGCATGGATCTGGGATATACGTGACACGCTCGACAACCGAGACTTGGTACGTCGGCTCCTCATGAACGTGCAGAATTTTGGCACCAAGACAAGCCTTAAATTATCCTGATCAGAGGCAATTCGCCCAGTGTCATTCTCGTCTACATACTCATTGCGGACATCCGGTAAAAACAGTCACCACTCGTGGTCAGGCGATAAGCGATTGTATATAGTGAATCGGTGTACTGTAAGTCACGAACCAAGCAATCGTTGGTACACTCTCGAAACGGCTTGATGCGGGGGGAATAATTGGAGGAGAAGCAACGGCTCATAATTTCAAGTACTCTAGCACGCCTTAGGGTCTCCCAAGTAGGAAGGTAGAACAGAAGCAAGACTCCAAGATAATCCAGCTCTGACGGACTACACGAAGTCGAGCGTCGCCGCGTTTGTCTTCACGGATCGATAACCACGGTATCAGATGGGGTGATACTCAATCACATGTCGTCCGTGGCGGTCGTGCCGACGCGAGATTGCTTTCAAGAGCAAGGAAGCACGGTCAACAGACGCGGACAGTGAACTGACCCGCCTCTTTTGGACATGGATGCTGAGTCTGGAATTCGTGGTATATATTGCTTTGCAAAACAGCGAAAATACGGCCGGTGTGGCGTAATGGTTATCGCTGTGGACTTTTAGCACAAAATTCGACATGAAGTCGGATCCGTGGGATCCAAGGGTTCCGGGTTCGAGCCCCGGCATCGGCTTCTTTTTGCTTTTTCTTGCTTTTTCGTTCACTCGGCTTTTTGGCATCGTCACTTGTCCCTGTTAAGGCTTAGTGTATGACACTTCGTCTGCCGCCAAGCACTTGACTCATGGTCATGGCGGAAAATTGTAAATGCATAAGGTATAAGCGACATTCGAGCTGCCAATGTCCGTCACATGCCTTGAGGCCAATGAATACCTCAAGCGTCCTCCTCGCTGCGACTGGCAAAAGTTTTCACCACTAGAACGTTCAACCGGGCAGCCGACCACCGAAGCTCCTCATGGTATCTTGCTAAAAGTCTCTGCTCCTCTCGAATTGCCGATTCGTCGAGAAAGTGGCGACCGCGAAGCTGCGCGAAGGAGTCTCGACTGTCTGACAATCGCCTGGACGAGGGACGGCCTCCCCGTGGAGCACACCCTGGACCAACTGCTTGTACTCTGTCGACTCTCGGAGGGCTACTGACCCCTTTTGCTGAGTGTCGGGCTCTGGAAATTTAGCTACGTGCTACTCACGATTTCACCTTGGTAAGAGTAGGTTGGAACATGTGGGGCTCCGACGGATGGGAGGGCGCTCGCTGCTTGCCGAAGACGCGTCTAACCATGTCATGAATGAACTGACTGTTCCTTCTTCCTCTTGAAACCGACTGGACGTCGATACAGCATCCAACTGCATCCAGGCAATAGGCGAAACCAGAGTGAGACGGAGACCGGGCTAGACAGTGTCATGACGGTGGACCTTCCATCAGTCAGCCATGTCCAGTTCATCCGATGAGGTGCAGATAGTGGATCGCCCTCCGTCATCCTCCCGACCTGCCTCTCGTACCCAGCCATCCCCTCGGGTGGGATCCTCGAAACGCCGGGCGCACTCAGTCGAGAGCTCGGACTCTGACGAGATCATTTTCGTGGGCGCGACGGTCGGAGCGGCATTATCGGCCAAGTATTCGTTCAATGGTGCTCCGTCTAGACCTCCCTCTCGGTCCAGATCGAGGTCGAGATCCGTGGCTGCCGACACAGCCACAGGGTCTGGGACCAACGGAGCCCAAGATGGCAAGGGCAAGGGCAAGGCGATAGCTGGGAAGGGAGGTAGACCCAAGCAAGACGTCAGAGACGTGCTGCTCCCTCAATTGGACGTCGAACCAGCTCCGGTGCCACCGTGGTTGGGCCATACCAAAATTTTGCTTCAAACCAAGAGCTGTCCAGTGTGCAAGAGGGAATGGAAAAGGTCGGAGAGCGGGGCTGTTCGATGGGTACGTGAGACAGAGGCATAGACGCTCGGCTAACTCGCAGCGTCACATCTCTACCTGTCTCCCTCCCCTCTATCGCCCTCCGAACCCGGCCCCGGACCTCCAGTCGCTGATCAGCGAGGCGATAGACGAAGCAGCCGGCAAAGGTGGCCCGGTATCGCTGATCGACTACCACGTCAACATCATCGGCGAGGCTATCGACGCTCGATCAGTTAACAGCCTGTCTCCGGAGACAAAGCTGCCCGTCGACTCATCATCTCGGCGCCAGTCGATCACCAAGTCGAAGCCTAAAGTCGCCTCGGCGACTCTGAGACTCACCACGGTCAGAGCTGCCGAAGACAGAGGGGAGAATTGGACTGAACAGGTCGATGAACGCATGTCGGCGTTCTTGGGTCAACCATCGTCCCCATCTCGTTCCGACGAAATGTCCATCTCACCGTCCTCACCGGCCATGCCTCTGACGCAACCCTTGGGCGAATCGGAACTGGCTCTGACATACAACCGACCAGACCGTTCTCCCGATCCATATTCACCTCTATCCGAGAAAGCTTCGGCATCGCCTAAGACGCCCATGTCTCGTTCGCGCACGGCACGCGATCCTGACATGTCGGAGGGCGAGAACAGTCCGGTCATGCCGCCTTCGAGCCAAGCAAAGAGGCGTACGTCGAGTGGCAGCACTGGATCCCGCTCTCCCTTTCGAGGATGGGGAAGCCCGCGTGCCGATGGGTGCTTCCCCGCCAAACAACGATCGGCAATTACAACGGACCATAAGCGATTCAGAACGACGGGCCTCAGCCCTTGAGGTGGACGATGATGCAAGGAGCTCACACGCTCCCTTGCTGCATGATGCTCATCTGACCCCTCGGTATCGGGTAGATTCATCACCCGATGACGACTCGCCAGCCACAGTCACCTCTTCCCGTTACTCCATCACCCCTCGTAATGTCTTTGGACACCATCGGTTCTCGGCCACCCCGACGCGGACTCTCGATCCCTCATCCGCCCTCCCTCTCAGCCCGGAGGACCATGGCGAGAACGCCCTTGAGAGTATGATGAACCATACGTTCGACAATGGCTGGGGGGACGATGCAATGATGCAATGGCAAGGCGCGCAAGTGATCGATACCGACGACGACGTGTCGTCGGTGGCCCCGGAAGAAGCGGGGCTGCTTGAGGATGACGGGGAGGATAGTTGGGGCAAAGACGCCATTATCGACTTTACGCTTGAGGACACAGATGAAGGGGACAGCAGCGCGCCCGAGGCGCTTGATGAACGCCCGAATGTGATGGAGAACGTCCGTGCAGCGGCGGAAGAGACGACAGAGGAATTGATATCCCGGGGTATGCCAGATTATTCGTCTTGGCCGGTTGACAGGCTGCAGGTGAGTGTGGCGTTGACCGATGGCGATGACTGCTGAACGATAGAATCTCACTGAAAGCTTTGGGTACCGGCCCATCTCCAAGCAATCCGCACTCGTCGCGGTTGCGATTGGATGCTGGAAAGCGATGCATCCACCACCGTCTCGACCAGATCGCTCTGTGGCGCCCGCCGCCACACGCTTAGGCTCTCGTAACTTGTCGCCTGTGGAATCAGACAGCTCGATCACGTCCGGCGAGGTCCCCCTGGCGGGGAGGAAGAAAGGGAAGAGCAAGGCGAAGCGTGTTGTGCCTCTGCCGTCCGAGACACTGGAAGCCGTTGAGCCGGTATTGAGTCTTGAGAAGCGCTTTCACGATATGATATACAACGATGACGCCCTTTACATCCGCATACTGCGATACGAGGTAGGTCTGCCAGTGGTCCTCGGTCCAAGGGCTCACCATTTCAGCCGATCAGTTTTGACGAGCTCGTCAGCAAAGCGATTTCCGTGGGGATCAAAGATAAAGGCTGGAAGGCTTCGTTGAAGCGGTTTTTGGACCAACAGGTAGGTTGGAGTTTGGCGTCGGCATCGTGACCTACGGCTGACGAGTCCAGGGTATTACATTCTATACAGAAGACTTGACAGGACAGAGGCGGAGACATTGATGGGTGTGTATGAAAAGGCGACAATCACCTGAGCTTATGGGCGAACCGAGGCATAGCATTCCGACTCTCACATGTACCTTCACGATGCGGCGACAAGAAAAGAAACACTCTGAAAGCGCCTTGTATGCATTTATATGATCATATGATCCTCACCGCGTCGTGTCGTCAGACTCATGCATATATGCAAAGTTTATGGTAGACATGATCACAATGCAGGAAAGCTTTCGAGCAAAATCATTCTGTTCCCACTTCCCAACCCTCCTCCCCCGCTGGGGACATCGTGTCAACTCGTATCGACAACCACCCGTGCCAGACTACTATAGCTCCTTCCGCGCATCGGACGTGAGATCGACCAGCCTGTACTACCGGCTATGCACTCGGCGAAGGGGGTTTCACGGACCCTTGCTTGCCCGAGCTTGAGCTCGAGGCAGGTTTCTCCACTTCCGCTTTCCTCGCTTGTGACGGGTTCTCGGCGCCCTTGCCAGGTGGATTGACGCCCATCTTGTCAAAGCTATTCGCAAGCTGATCAATGGCCGCACCGCCCGCTGTAGCCGGGAGCTTTTGCTTGTCGGTCGGCGGGGAGAGCAGCGTGCTTGGGGAGATGTACGACGCCGGCTCGCCGTTCAACGGACGCAACGCCGAGGTCGGCGCAGCTGGGGAGAATGGCGCAAAGACGGGCAATGGAGAAGTCGGCTCGAGATCGCCGGCAATCGAACCTGGCGGCCCGGAAGCGAGCGAGGCGGATCTTGTTCCGGGTCGATGCGACGAGGATCCCACAGGCATGCCTGCCGTCGAGTGGTGTCGCGGGTCATAGTTCATCATCGACGTTGGCCAGTTGGGCTGGGACAGTTGTGGACCCTTGCCCATTTCCAGTTGCGCGTACAGCCGGTGAGGCGACAATGGCGCCGAGATGGAACCGGATCCCGCCCCATCGTCATAAGCCGACACGGCGCGGCGCGAGCCTCGGTATCCAGCAGCAGGGCCATCGAGGCCGCGTGCTTGGGTGTCGCGTCCACGATTCGAGCCCGAGGCAGAAGCCGAACCCGTCGGCTCGAAGCCTTGCAGGCCAAGGGAGCCCACACCGCCGAGACTCGACCCTTGGCTAGACAGCCATAGCTCTTGCGCGGAAAATTCGCTAATGTCGCCATCGCTCTGACGCCCGCGGCTGCCATTGTCGACTTGGGGTCCCAGACGGTCGTAGGGGGCTTGGGAATGGCTGCGCCAGTTGCCGCTGTGCACAGGGGGAGCAAAGGCGGCTGGGCGAGCAGACATGGATCGAGGGGCCGGGGAGGATGATCGGGGGGCTCGGTGAAGCTCATCTTCCCGTTCTCGACACAGCTCGGCGAGAGCGAGGACCGCTCGATCGGGTCGCTGCGTGAGGATACGCGTGGCACGCATAAACTCGCCTCGGATCTGCAAGGTGAGAGGGGCACGGATATTGAACTAGTCAGACCACTCACAGTATACAGACCGTCTTTCGTGACGGTTCGCGCCACATTGTAGGAGATTTCAAAGGGGTCCTCGATACACAGCCTGTTTCTGTCTCTGGCCATCTCGTTCAACCCTCCCACATCAATCTGTATCGTCAGAGACGTCGCGATGATCGCGGTCTCATCCCTCAAACTCACGTCATTCACCCAGCCCTTGCTCTCCTTGGTCAATTGCCCTGCTCGAAGGGACAAGACCGAGTTGTTAAACTGAAAGTCGTGCGAGAAGAACCGGAAAAAGTCGATCA